CAAAAGTCTCTTAAGTTAAAAAGGTGATTAACTTAGTATAAAAAAGTTTTAGATGCATGCATGCCACATTTGGAGCCCCTAAATAATTTGAGTTATATTTTACTATGATCACTCTCTGGTTGACTGGTGAATCACCAATTAACTTGTCTGATTCTGCAGTTTATATAAAAAAAATACTATCATGATAAATTATATCTACATAGTTATTACATATTCTATATTGTGCTTATATTTTAAATTTAATTGGGTAAAATTATCAAAGTATTTTTCTATCTTAATAAGTAATAAATAATAATAATAATAATAATAATAATAATAATTACTGTATTTATTTAGAGATATATGATATATATTTGAATTTTTTTTATCTGTTAAAATATTATTAGCTAAAGTTAAAGAAACATTTACCCAAAGTTCTGTACAACAATGTTGATATACTAATTATTTGCATTTTTCTGGTGTAACAAATATAAAAAATATATCTTTTCCTACTAAAACAAAATATAACTCATAATTTAAAATGGCTTCATATACTAAAGATTATATACTAAAGATTATATACAAAAGATTATATACTAAAGATTATATACTAAAAATTATATACTAAAGATTATATACTAAAAATTATATACTAAGGATTATATTCTTTATTGGAAAGAGTTATTTTAAAGTGAAATAGAACTTGATCAAACTGAAGCTTTAAAAGCTATTTGTTCTTTTCTTTTAGATTTATATAAATTTGGTTTAATTATAAATTATATTTATTTTATTAGCATCTTTTCTAAAGATTTTATTTCTATTTTAAATTTTTTTCAACAAGAAAAACCTGTGATTCCTTATGTTGAAGGTAGACTTTAATAACTTACTAATTTTATTGAATCAAATATAAAAACTACAAATTTTGATTTTCAAATAGATGAAATTATTATTACTAATGGTTTCAACTATCTAAATTTTATCCAATATTTCAAAATGCCTTTGCCAAAGCATAATTAAAATTTCTGTACATATTCTTTCACATCCAGATAAGCCACTTTTTTATGCATATCAAATATTTAATCCAAAATTCATTCATGCAGGAGGAGTTAATCAAAGAAATTTAAGACACTATAAAATTATTTCTGAATTAAATAACCCATCTGATGCTTTTATCATCTAATTTTTTGTAAATAGTAAAATTTCCTTCCTCCCTCAAATGATTATGATTATGTATAAAAATATACTTGTTATCTATTAGCTTGATATTTGGCACCCACCCCTGCTAAAAAAATCAGATGATAAATGACACTTCCCTTATTAGATAAATGGGCAGTATATTGTAATTTAGAAGATAATATAGATGCTGAAGATGAAATTGATTTAAATGAATATTGATCAAAAGTTAGTAAGAATTTACCACTTCTATCGCAAATAGTATACATGGGTGTCTAAATTATTTTTTAAAAAAAGCAATTTCGACATTGCTAGTTTTTTTATATGAATTCCACAAAGTAACTATACTACCTAACGTATTTTAACATAAAGAATTCAAATAATTTCACTAAAAATTTCGACAACTATAAAATTTAATTTTGCCATTAAGAAAAATTAATTTCAACAGACTAAATGTCGAAATAATTTTTTATTAAGAGAAGTAATTTAGACACCCATGTATAATCGCAAATAGCATTCGATTATATATGGTTACCTATTTCCTCATGTAGTGTAGAGAGAAGTTATTCAAAATATAATTCAATTCTAGATAGTGATCGTCAAAGTTTGTCAGAAACTTCTTTACAAAATTTAAACATTGTATTTTAATGGTAAAATTAGCAAATAAATTTAGTATCATATTACAAAAAAAAAAAATTTGATTGCAGAATGTATATATTTTTAATATAAATTACGCAGAATCTTAAAATTTGATCCCGGAAATGCTTCAGAAAAAAAAATTTCTAATGCACGAAATTTTTGCAGAATTTGAATTTGTTTTCGTCACGGACGGAATTGGCAATTTGTCACCGCAGAAAATCATTGGCCCTGCTGAAAACAACTTTAAATCTAGTTCTGAAGTATTTTTAAATCTTACTATAAATAAACATCCCTTACTATGGGGTGCGCGCTATTTTGGGACGTACGTACATGAGCGTTATTTTGAAATTATATACACGTCACTCTGGTTATATCGACATTTTTGAGACATTAGTAAAAAAATTCAAAATGTACAGTGAGTTATACCGACATTTTATATTAAATTATTGAAAAAAAAATGTCGGTATAGAAAAATTTTACTATGATGTCGTTATATCCAGATGTCGGTATAACCAGAGTGACGTGCATATTATTTTTAAGGACGCTCATGAGTGTTATTATGCGAAACGGTCAATTAATTTGTATCAACAAAGATATAGTTTATAATTTCATGTTTAGCTACCCAGGGGTAAATGACGTGGGTTAACCTATATAGACAATATGTCTGACGTTTAAGGTTGTGCCTAAAGCCGCGGTTTAACAGAGAGCTACCATATAAAGTACCAAACACCATAGACAAGTAAAGTAAAAATATTTTCTCACTACGCTTTATTTTATTAATCTTTTACTTATTTTACCTATTTATATAAAAAATAATAAATTTCAAAAATTCGTACAACTAGATAAACTAGAATATTCTAAATTATAGTACATGTTTAAATTTGAAAGATAATTTTTAAATTATTTTATAATTCATCATCCGGTTTAGCAGTTGTCATTGGTAAATAATTATATAAACTTTGGAGTTTGTCGTAATTTTTGTAAAGATAAATAATTGCAGCAATAAATATTACTGCTGAAATAATAACACTAATGATTGCACCAGTGACTAAACCAGAGGAGTTAGAATTTGAAACGCTTGATGTAGTGTTTGCTAAAGTAGAATCATCAGTCCATGTAAAAATATTATTTGCATTTACATTTAGCATAAATATTTTTGATGAAAAAGTAGAATTTGCAAATGCGCCTGTTAAATAAATAAATAAATAAATAGATAAATAAATTTTTAGCATAAATAAAAGACTTTAAAAAAACATGCATTAAATAATTAAAAACATACCAAAAGCAACAAGCATATGATTGTTTATTAATGTCGCTGTATGACCATAAAGAGCTAGATCCGTAATTGGATTTAAAATATTTCCAGTTGACCATTGTGATGTTATTAGATCTAGGATCCATAGATCACCGAGAACATTTTCACCGCGACCACCAAATATTATAATACGTTTGTCAGAGGCTTTTAATTTGAACGAGATTAATTTAATATTAAAATTTTTTTTGTCGATTAAAACATTATTAATAATATTTAAACCATACTTAATACTGCTGAAAAATATGTACGTGAAGGAGGTATTTGACCAGATATATTCTAATACAGTATAATTTTCGAAATTAAATCATTAGACGATTAATTGTTAAGATAAAAAATAAGAATGGTACTTATTCATACCATAGTTGTCCACGTATCAGATTTTGTATTATATAATGGTAACTGCAATAATATTAATAATATTCATTAATAAAGGCATCAATGAGGAGAGAGTGATTAAGATATATATATATATTTTTTAAAAAAACATTCTACAAATATAACACTTACATAATTCATTGGCATATACAATGACCAATTAGTAGGATTACTTCCACCAATATATAAAATATTATTATCTGGCAAAGTTATTGCGCTATAGCCGAACCTGGATGCTGGTGCATTAGTTGCATTGCTTAACCTCCATGATAATGTTATTGTATTGAAAATCCAAAGATCATTTTTGGCATATGTTATATTTATATAACCACTAAAAATTGCAATTGATCCATTATTAAATGTTGCACATGAAATATCTTCTCTATATATTGGTACGGTTCCATTAGTATTAATATTAGTCCACTGTTGTTTACTTGTATTAAATTGATTAACAAATGAATTATTATAAGGATAACCTCCAAAAATAAAAATTGAATCATTCTTGTTTCCCCCAATACAGGCTGTAGCGGAATGTTTAAAAGGACCATTGGTATAAGTAAGGTCAACCCATGGTATAGAGGCATTGTTAATGGTTGTAAACGATTTAGTAAAATCCAAATAAAAGAATTCATTTGTAACACTCGCAGCTGATGAAAGTCCACCACTAAAATAGAGCTTTTTATTAATAAGAACTGAGGATTGAAATTCTCTTCCAATCGGAACAAATGCTGAAGTAAAAATTATATTAATGAGAAAAGAAAGAATAAAACTAATGTACAACATGATTACGATAGTATAAGTTGAAATGGAAAATAAAATGTAAATGTAAGTTTAGGCAACTATTTATTTATAGTATTTGTAACGCGACTAATTCGTACAAGTCCTACCGCCCTAATTCGTACAAGTCCTACCGCTCTGTATCCGTATCAAGTAATACTTAATTTACACCATCGCTTAATAAATCATTTCGGAAATTACATGTATTTTCCCTGCAAGTTTTCCTATACCTTAACAAACAACTTGTCGTGTTACTGATTAAAACTATATTTTAATTTAGCAATTATCGTGTCTTATATTATACGTACTATACGTCGTTCTCCAATCAGCTGTAATTTCACTCTCCATAGCATAAAAACAAGGTAGGCACAAAACTCATTTATACATGATAAAATTGTAAGATTCTCGTATGAAAATATTCGTCGTTTAATATTTTCAAAAATTAATTTAGGTGGAATTTAAATTTCAACTAGACACGTGTATGCAACATATATATTAACAGATTAGCAAATATAATAGAACTGTTATTTAAGCAACTTCAAGTAACTATGAGCATAGCATTCGCTAACTAAATTTGCATAACTCCTTGGCGCCATTGAAACCTTATCTTTATAAAATTTATAGTTGTATATTTCTCAATTTACTTTTTTTTTTCACAATTAAACCTGCCAGAAATGGTTTGTATCGAGATGCGTTTCGATTTATAATAATACAAAAAAGGATTAGTGAAAAAAAACGTTCACTACTCTTTAGACACGTCTTGTGTGTCTACATAGTCAAGACCTAGACGTTCACCAGATATCCATTTATAATCTGATAGAATAAAACCTATGTATAAACACATAATTGATATTTGTTAATAATTTTAAGTGCAAAAAGGCTAAAAATAAGGACGAATATAAATTTACATACCATCATCATCAATATAATGAGGTTTAGTATATGATACAGCCTGTATGATTGCAATTTTCACCTTAGAAAAATCTTTTTCATTCATTCCTAGGCGCGTTTGAAGACGCAACTTGGTCGCAGTGAAAAGTTCACCCTATTTATAGAAAAATAATATAAAGATAATATAAAAGATATATATTTTAGAATAATAAACTAGAATGTATTATAAATATTTTTAGAGATACTAACGGCTTTAATAACAAATTTAAATGGAATTCCGTGTAAACGTAACAGCTCCTTTGTAAAATGATGTACTTGAACAATTCTATCATTAGCACCTAGCTCGATCTCTTCCTTTGGTATTTCCTAAACTTGAAGTGAGTTACTTGTTTAAAAAAAAAATATTATTAAAAAATTTAAAAGCCATATGAAAAAACTGACCTCTGCATATAATGTTGTAAAGTGTTCCTGTATTTTATCTATTGGATCGTTGTATTCATATTCATTTAAAATTTTGCAACTCATAACATCATACAATCTTATCCTACTATTGGGTATCGTCAAATTTAATTTTTTTGAAATTTCTTCATATACATCATTAACAATAGATTCCCTCGGGAGGTAAACTTCAAGCATTTCCTTTTAAAATAAATAATAGAAAGAAATTAACAAAATTAATATATAAATTGGATCATTATGACATTCTACTTACCTTTTCTTTTACAGTTTTTCCAAGCCAAAACACTTTAAAGATCATTTTAGTTTCTAAATCCATAATACTGATATCTAATGTCTCATAATACAAAAAATTCGCTGTATTTTCAAGAATCTCTGACAATGTTCGAGTGTTTTTCCCTTTAATCACACATTCAGGTGTACCGGATGTTGGATGTGCTGTTGTAAAAAGTAATTTCAAAGGATCTATATTTAGGTAAGCAGCAACATGTTTAGCGACCTATGGGCGTACAATTAAATAAATATATATGTATGTTAATTAAATTAATCGAATAGATATTATAGCAAATGATGACTCTTTGCGAATTAATCTTCCGAAGCATCATCATATTTTGCTTGTAATATACAATTTTTTATTATGGAATAAAATATTATAACTTACAACATCATACGTGTATTTCTTATTTAAAACCAACTCAAATTTAGGATTTTGTCCTCGATCTTTAAATTTTGGTCTAAATTGGACAACTATACGCGTAGATAATAAATCATAAAATGTAGGAACATCGTGGATAAGATCTGCAGCACAATATTCACAAATTCTAAATCGAAAAGAAATTTTTTAGTTTACACAACATGAATTAGAGGAAAATTATCTGGTTAATAAAAATCTTACTCATTTATTGTTAGTTCTTTTTGGAAGCAAAGTATATCACCATCTTTCATTTCGTACGTAAATTCGGGCTTCAGATATTGAATCCAATTAGGTTTTATCTCCTATATTTTTTTTAATAAATTATTAATAAAACCAAGTATGAATTATGAATTATGAAATATAATAAGTATAATAAATTTACTTTGTATATTTTCAAAGGTGCATGTGATGCAACCCTTTTTTTCTCCCGAAGAATATGAACGATATCATCAGCTTTACAATTTTTTTGAACAAAAACATGACAGAGCCCTCTATTTGCATAAATATGATTACGAGATTAGTATTAAATTAATATAACGCGTCCCAAATATTCTAAAACGCGTTCTAGATTTAAGTACCTTAGAGATTGTGAACGAGGATCAAAATATTTGACAAAAATCATTGTAGGGACATCCTTATCCTTATTCTTATTTTTATCCTTCTCAGTTAAAGTCTACACATTTTAAATAAATAATGAGTAAATTGCATTTTTAGTAATATACAATAATTCACTAGAATAAAAATTACTTTGTCAATTGGTCTGTTTGTAATTTCTAAATACAATATCAATTCATTTTGTTTTGAAGCTATTTTTTCATAAATTTCTTCCATTGCTATTTTGCCACAAAGTTAAAATATTCATCATTAAAGAAGGGAATTAGAATTTCAAATACTAAATCGTGCTTTACAAATAACTTACACATGTCAAGATAATTGTCAGTTATTAAAGTATTTGTCCGGATATTATTTTGGCGGTTTACGAGAACCCAGAACCTTATTTGTTCGGTTAGATTCTCATGCTTAGATACGATCATGCCTTTAAAAGTTCTATACGTATCACTTTTCTTAATCTTAAATTGCAATACATCAGATAACTGATATTGTTGATTTTCGAAGTTAACGAGACCAAAACCTTGATGAAGTTTAAAAGCGTTTTTAGTCACAACCTAATAGTAAATTAAAGATAAAGGTTAATCTTAATAAATATAATTTATTATAAATCTTCAATATGTATGCTACCTTAATGTATAAATATGAAAGACGTTCTTCATCTTCTTTTCTTTTTTGTTCGTATAAAATTTTCTCTTCGTCTATGCGTCTCTCTATTTGGTATATAAGTTAAAGATGCTGTTTATAATTTCGCTGCATAAATTTAAATTATAGTTTATAAAGAGAACTCACGTAAGTGTTTTGTTACATCCTCAGGAAATACTGGAGACAGTATATCATCAATATCAGATTCACGAATATAGGTAAGTACATATGCAGCTGGGAACCACCTCTTATTTCTTCCCCCAAAATTATCATTAAGAACTTCTTTAATAGTTGCTGGTGTAACTTTATCATTAAAAAATTTTGTCCTTTTTACGCCAGAACAAAGTATATATTATATATACATTATCGCCTTTGTAGTACCATAAATTTGAAATTTTGATTTACCATTTTCCATTCTTTTTGTGCCTTAAATATTGATAGTATAGACCTCCAGATTTATCACCGTCATGTATAACGACGCTGATTTACGAAAAAGACTTAAATATATTTTCAATGTAAGTAATCACACAATAAAAAAAGATTTATTACAAACCCGTGAAGTAAATATTTATGTGATTTTGATCTATCCGCATCAAATGACAAATAATTTTGTAAATCAATCTCCATTGGGTATTCAAAGAGATCATTTATCTATAGTATGATAATGGTTAGACTAACAAAAAAATTAAGCCCGAATATTATTTCAGATAATAATAAGACATACTTTGACAACAGTTTCTCTACTTTCAATATATACCCATCGTCTTAATACTAAATTTAATATTGGTGGAAAACTCTCAAAGGTTATACTTTTCTTGGTATCCTATATAAGTAGATTGAACAACATTGCATCATACCAGCCATTATATGAAATAATTTAATAAAACTTACTTGTAAACCATATCCCGCTATATAATAACTGTTTTCAAAGGACACTTCTTGTACGAAATTATTGAAAGAATCAACTAGATTCTTGCATCCCAATACATCAAGGGTAAGAGCTACAATAGTAAAATTAATTTATTAACAAAATTATGATTATTTAATTTTTTTGTAAATATCTCTCGCACCTACATTCGTATTTTTCAATACGGGAAAACTGATAATCTATATTAGTGCATTTAATATTATGCTTAATTTTGCCACAAAAGAGTTCAGAAATTACTCCATCAAGTTTTGTATTCTAAATAAATAAATTAAATAAAATTAATAACTTAATCGTTAAAAATAATTAACAACTTTTTAACCTATTTAGCGATAAAATGAAACGTTACATTCATTTTATTTCTGAGATTTCCTATAAACATAAATTTAAAAATATCCAAGAAGTCACGTTGTATAGAACAATCATTTAAAGTCCATCCATAAGAGTTTGTTAATTCCACAGTTTCAACCGGATCATTCGAAATTTGCAATTGATAAAAAATCCTTTGTATAGCTAAGGAAACACTTTTGCCCGATTCATCCTCTTCCGTAGGAATTTGATATATTGCCTATGATCAATAGCGTTAAACTTGGTGTAAATATGTTTAAAATATTGGTTTAAAATCAAATAACGACACTAACCTTACGAAGATAATTTATACTAAATAACAATTGTAATGAAACGTTCAAAGAGCCTGTTGCGCCCTGATTCTTTAGACCAACATATCCAGTCACCTTTCTTGAATTATAACTATAAATAAAGAAATAATTAAAGTTATTAAAGAAACAATTAAAAAAACTAAGTAAAGAAATAAGTAAAAGAGATAGGGTACTTTGTAAAATTATGCCATAGGATACCAGTTGGATCCTTTATGATACGAACACAAGCAGTAATATTACAGGCATTATTCTCGATTAGCGAACGAGTATGATTAACAAATAAATTACGCTGCTCGCAAAACCGATTAAATCCCCAATATGGTTCTTCAGTAGTAAACCGATGTTGAGCATCTATAAGCAATGATTAAATATGTAAGTAGCAAGAACCATCAATACATATATATAACACTGTGTGATAAAATACGTACGATGAGAAACACATAATGTTGGTTCTTTTGGATTCCATAAGACAAAAGCGAACTGCACACAAGAATACCACTCAGTAGATGTTCCCGGTGGATCATCAAAACCCAAATAAATTGAAACGGTATCCGTATTGATCTTTCCATAAGGATGAAGAAAAATACGCCTAGATTGTAAAGTTAAAATTAAAGAAACATGAACATAAATTTATACAAATTATTACACGGGCGCAATTGTATTTACCAGTTACAACCACCAGCTTTAAATTTGGGGCTTGATACTTCCTTTTCCAAGTCTTTCCAATTTGTGATTTGCCATGTGTAAGATTGGAAATCTTCAATTTCATAACCAAGATTGGGCATTATACTATTTACATCGCCTATAATTATATTAATGCGATTTTTTATTGTATCCAAGATTAAATAAACTAATTATAAATTCTCAAAGAAAATATATTTTTATAAAATAATAGAAGTAAACATACATTCTGTTACTGCCATTTTGTTATAAATATCTTCGGGGTATGTTAAGTGTGAAAATTTCTATGGTTGTCTAAAATAAATAGAATTTGTTCTGTTACACGACATAATTTTTATGCACTGTTATAATAGTAATTCTATAAATAGGAGTTCATTAAGTGGGGTAATGCAGTAATGTACCCCTGTGTTTATAGTACCCTAGTCATTGCGAAAAAAGTGATGGTCATGTGTTTTATCACTATGTTTTATTTTAACATCACTATGTTTTAGGTTTACTCACGTTAATTGCTAATTTTTTATAAATTACTTTTATCGTTATCTATGAATCAGCGATATTTTGTGCATATTATGATAAGGACTTAGTAATTTACCGCCATAGCGATATATCGCTACTCCCGGCACAAATGCAGCTGTATCATATAAATTTGCATATATTTATTATCTCTGAATGATGCCAATGCTATAAAATTACTATACCAAAAAATTATTCGAAATATTCTCAAAATTTAGGCTCAACCTTGCTCGTATTTTATGTTCATTCATTTTCCCGACGACGTATCTTTATCCTGTCTCATATTTTAAATTTAGACTAAATTTTTGTGCAATAAAATTTTATAATTTTTCTTGCGCGTTATTTTTTGTGCAAGTTCCTTATTTAAATTTAATTGCACACTTGTGCATATACATTTAGAACTTCCCTTGCACAAAAAAAAAACCACTTGCGCATGTGCATCTTGTGCAAGCCAATTTTAAACACTGCTCCCGAAATTTAATTTTGCGTCGTGTGATGTCGGAGTTCCCATTAAAAGCTAAAAAAAAGTTTGGCCGCAGCCTCTTTTTTAAAGACATCAAAACTTTGAACGAAGATTACTCGGCACTTACCTGGTCAAATTCGAATCAATTTTTCTGGTTTAATTCTATATACAGTATTCATAGAATTAAAATAAAAAATTTTGATCGAATTTGACTAGGTAAGTGCCGAGTAATCTTCGTTCAAAGTTTTGATGTCTTTAAAAAAGAAGCTGCGGCCAAATTTTTTTAGTGAATATTTCTCGAAAACAAATTATTTTTATTTTAAAAATTCTATGAACCCTTACAATGTTCCTTCGGACAATTAGAATAGATATCGCGAATAAATTTTTGGCTCAAAAAGATTATCAGGAGCCAATCAAAATTCGCCAATTGTTAAAAGATTGTTCTAGGGCGTTCTAGAAGAGAGATTATTTTTGGAATGTCTAAAGTACGTGATGCAAACTCGCGAAACAAAGCCCTTGGGTGTATTAATAAAATATCGGGAAGGCAATCTTGCTTATATAAGCTATCCAACCCTAGCATAACCCTTAGCGCATACGTCAAAAAGTCAATTTCCGAATATTTTAGATGGGGTGTCCTTTACCACCCTGGGTGAGTCCAAGACAACACATCTGCTATGTATTTTTGCTTAAAAATTTAAAATATATGTATCTGGTATATATTATTAACATTAAAACTTTTTGGTAAAGAACTAAAAAGGCATATTTTTTTATTACTATGTATTTATTAGTACGTATATAATAATGATGATAGCATGTTTTCGCCGAAAATTTTTATTTGTCCAAAGTTCTGCCACACAAATTTTAAACACCCAATTAGCACATGCAGTAAATTTCGATCACCAATTATCACCTGACTTTCTTACTACATATGTCCTTGTAAACAATTAATGAACTCGACTTTCTACTTTCTTCAGGTTTGCAAAAAAAAAAAAAAAAACTATGGCAGAACCAACGACACAAGCTGTTGTTGACCAGAATGTCCTAACTGCATCAGCTAATGCATCAGCTGCTGTAGCAACCGCAACCCATATTCAAACGCAACAACAACTGCTGCAACAACAACAGAATCAAGCGTTTATGACACAGGTTTGGTTATACATTATTTTTTTTTTACAAAGATGGCTTTTTTCTCTAAATTTGATATATTGTTAACTTAAAACCAGTTCTGGAATAAGCAAATTATGGTAGCAGAGCAGTTTGAAAGTGATTTTAAAAATCATCCATTACCTCTTGCAAGAATTAAAAAGGTTATGAAAAGTGATCAAGATGTTAAAGT